ATTTTGTCGATGACCAACAAAGTTCGCAGGGAGTTGAAGAAGAAAACGATGTCCAAGAGACGAGTTTCGATTTTCACGTTGAAGCCCAAGTCAGGAAGCAAAAGAGAAAAACGCAGAAAAGCTATAACACGACGCGCCAGATATCAAGGACTTCAAGCATGGAGAGTGAAATTTTCTTGATTAAGGTGTTCTTTCCAACTTTTCTAGGTTCAAAGAAGAAGAAAAAAGCACCTGAGAATCGCTCGATAGTTTCCCCAAGGCCGTCGGCTGGGGGACCTGAGAACCACAATGATTGGTCTAAGATCCGTAAGTTTTTCCTAAATAAAAAGAGTGGCACAAGTTGCAGTAGCGGGAGCAGTAGCGGGAGTACTAGTAGTAGCAGCAACGGCAGCTCAAGAAGGTATCTAATTATTTTTTTTATGAACTTCCATCATTACATTTTATTGTCCATTTGCACACCATGTTTGTTTTTGTCTGTTGATTTCCCTTACCCCATACGATCTAAAAGTAAAAAAATAAGCGGAGGTTGTGCACAACTCGGAGTTCAGTGTTTTATTCATTCAATCTGATCAACAAAATAGGGATTCTGTTACATGCAGGTCTGTGACATGCAGGTCTTCCGGTAGCAATATCTTAACTGGTTGCTGGTTCTTCTGCAGCAAGAAAAGCAAAAGCAAGAGACAAAGGGGATTAGTTATGTGAAGATTAATTATGCTAGCTAGAAAAATCTACTAAGTTCACCTACTAAAGTTTCGTAGTGTTAGAATAATATTGTAAATTTTACAAGAAGTCAAAATCATGTGGCTGAGAAGTGAGTTCAAGTCATTGAATTCTCGAACAATTCAATTAAGATGTATAAATATAAGTTGTGTACTCGTATGATAGTGTGTATTCAAGTTAAAAAAACCAGTTTCATTTTAATTATATTTTATTGCAAGTTATTCAAAGCTATATATCTTCCAACATTCACTTTGAGATTTACATTTTTTTTCGCAAGTAATTTAGAGCTTACACTTATTAATTTTTCGTCTCTTCAGAATATCGGATAAAATTTAAATGATACTTCTTAACTTTTCAAATATAATTTCTTTTGAACTATGTGCACAAGCCTACTCGGATAAAACTTTTGTCACGTCCATTAATGTCAAGTATTTTATCGCCAAATGCGCCGAAGCTGGAAACCTGAGGGACATTTCTGGTATGACATGCACTACACCAAATCTTTTGCACATGAGAGACATCATATCAACACAGCAGCAGAAGGAGGCTACCCACAATATCTAAATGACCCGGTCCCATTCTTGTCAAGTCGTTATTTTGGTAGAAGATTTTTTTATCCAAAAACTAAATTACATTGTCAAATGTTTTGGGCTAAAGAACGATGAGCCATACGTTGTACGCACCATGCCTTACGTGTGTCGTATATATCAAGGCGAAGATCTTGAAAAAGATTGGTGTGGACCAACCCATAAGTTTAGGGTTGTTTTGATATTGTTGTACTTTGAAAAAAGTCTACTTCTGTTATACTGTAAGAATAAGCAGCTGTGAAATAAAGCAGCAGAATGTTTGATAAACTTTTTTGTAAAAGTGCTTTTGAAAAAAAAAAAACAGTATTATAGTGTTTGATAAACTTTTATATAAAACAGATGTGAAAAAAAAAAACCAGTTTTTCAAAGCTGGGTTTTGCAGCTTCTTGTTTTGGCTTTTTTTCACCCAAAATTGTGAAAAAAAAGCTGAAACTGAATGTTTACTAAACACAAAAACAGCTCCCAACTTTTTTTATACTGACTTTTTTCAGAATTATCTCAATATCAAATCACGTCTTAATCATTCACTTCTGTAGGGATGGGCATTTGGGCAAAATATGTGGGTTCGGAACAACCATACCCATTAAATAATACATAACATTTTGTAATTCATTGTGCTAAATGGGTACCCACAACTCAGTGGGTTGGATTTGGTTCACCTATCTAATGAGAGGGGATGGATGCCCATTAACCATGATAATGATGTAGAGTAACATTTACCTGCAAAACGTAGACCCCTCTATGCAACATGGAATGATATGAAAATTCTTTTGAATCGGGATGACTCGGCGTCGTATCATTGTCATGGGATGATACAGTGACAATGTACTTGTGATATTTAAGTTGTTATCTTAAGTTTTGATTGTATAACCTATATAATTTGAGGTGTGCTATTCACACACTCTCAACTACTTTTCTCACACCCTTTTTATTTTTTAATACTTAATTGGTATTCTACAATTTAATCTTTCATACATACCCTTTCTACTTTTTAACCTTTGGAATTTTAGAATACTTTTGTTATTTTATTTTAAACATTTTTTTTTTTTAAAACACACAAGCATATATGCCCATTTGTAACTCTTTAAGTTCCACTGCCTAACCTGAGAGATCCCAAAACAAGTATAAAACGCCTATTATAAAAATAAAAATAAAGTTTCAGCAATATATAAATAAAAATAAAACGATTACCTAATGATACAACATATATCCATAAGTTACATGAATTGTACAAAATACTAGTAAGCAATCCACATACACTTTAATTCCCATAATAGTAGCCTCGTGCCCCAAAAAATATATCAGATATCATTACAAGCTTTCACATCCTGCCTACACTATGTTTGGCCTTTAATCTTGTGTTCAAAAGGAGATGTCGATGTTACCAAAAAGATATGAAACTCATGCACTCCAATACAGGAAAATAAAAACATGTCAACAAAAGGAAGAAAATTACAAACTTGATTAGTATTTTTATGGGGAAAAGTCAACAAAAATATATGTACTTTCATGTATTCTTTGCACATCTGAGCTATTATTAACAAAAAGTTTCTTTGGCAAATCATTATGCTCCTCACACCTATAAATAATGAACATTAAGTTATACGTATATATAAATAATCATGACCATAGTAGACAATCTTAAAAGATAAATATAAAAAAATGACATACCTATCGAGCATGTTTCTGAGCCTTCTCCACTATTTCAAACTTTGAAGGACCATGCTTTGTAGAGCTTGATTCTTTTCTATTTTTAGACCCCATTGGACGACCTTTGTGAGGTTTAACATTAGGCTCAAGAGTAAATGGAAGAGCATTTTATCAGGCTCGTCAAGTGTTGGTTGACTTCCTATATATCACAAACAAACACATTTATATATGTAAAATATATACTTTGGTTTTATCAATTGGCTAGACATTTAAGTATCAAATTTATACCAAAGCATTCTATGCATTATATCAAGTTTACACCAAAACATTGTATGTATCAAACTTAACTCTAACATTTTAGGTATTTACTAGCAGCAGACTCGAAATTTAAGCTGCAAAGCAGCTCTATAAATCGATTTTTGCACATTGAGATTAGGCACCCAATAATTCCATATGGTCATGGAGCCTAGGTAAAACCATTTAAACCTAATACCAATTTACCATTAAGTTAAAGTGTATTGGGGACCAATACAAACAGCATTCTAATAGAAAATTAATTTCCCCAAAACCAACACAAATCAATTTTTAATTTTCTGATCCATGATTTGAAAATCTTCTTTAAACTTTAAAACTACACCAGTATTCATTCATTCGATTGACATTTGAACCACAAATTAGGGAAAGAAAAAAATAGCCCTAAAAAACAAATTGAGATAAAAACCTTACGCAAGAGGAGAACAAAAACCCTAAATTCCAAAATCAATCTTAATAATTTGAGAAAATACTTTAGAAACTTACCATCAAAAGTGTTAAGAGGAGGAATGCATTTTGAAATTTCCTCCATGCCATCCTCCTTGCATGCCTTATCTAATATGTTCTGCAACTCAATTTCCATATGGAGCTCTTCATCTGTTATTATTAGGTCATCCATTGTGGTTTTTCACAAGAAGTAATAAATAAGGGTAATAGATTGGCTTTTCGTGGAAAGTATGAATGGAAGCAAAGAGGACAGGGGAATGGAGGCACAGAGGAAGGGGAGAAGTCTGGGAGTTTATCTTGAGTGTTGGTTTTTTCTAAGTGAAAAAAACAAAAATAAAAAGCAACTTTCAAAAGTAAAAAAATTAGGAAGAGTATATGTGGAAGATTAAATTGTAGGATACCAATTAAGTATTAAAAAATAGTAAGGGTGTGGGAAAAGTAGTTAGGGGTGTGTGAATATCACACCCCTATAATTTAAGTTATGTGTGCAGATAAAAGCGAATGATTTTTTTAACTTCAGTCGATTGCAAGGTATTAAACATGACGGAAACTTATCTCTTCTGAACCTACCATTTTGGGATTGGAATGGAGAAGTTTCTTCATGGGTATTTCATCTTTTACCTTTAAATTGGAAATTTGGTACTATACATTTTACCATTTATTCTATTATTTTCGTTAAAACTCAAAGTTTTCAAACCCTTTTCATTAGTTTTCCCCTTTAACAAAGCAATGTTGCCTTGTCACCAAAGCCGTTGAGGCAAATTGTCTTAGACCATCTCCAAATAAGATGTTAAATCCTAAGTGGAATGTCATGTAATCAAATTTGAAGGTAGGAGCAAGTTCCGACCGATATATCAATCCTATATGGATTAATATATGACAAAAGGTGATGCCATATCATTTTTTTAATTATTTTATTGTGTGGATCTCATTAATGCATCAATTATAGATCTTGAAAATTCATTTTAATTGAATTTTTTTTTAAATAGATCCTACAAATATAATTTATAACAAAAAAATATATTGGTCGGAAAAAAAGAAAATTTGATATTGTTACATTAACTATAAAATTTATATTTGACATTTATTTTTTAACATCTCTATTGGATATGCTCTTGATCGCTGCATTTATCCAATGGAATGACGTGGGAGGAAAATTACGTTTGCCGCGTCAGTTGCCTTGTCCCGTGAAGACCACTATTTGAAGGTCAAATTGCAGAAGCTGAACTAAAAATTTCAATTTAATTGTACTACAAAAGAATATTGGAATCTAGAGAACCAAACTGACCAAAAGTAGCTTCACCTTTTTTGAAGAGCTGAGCAATATTTTAATATGAAATATGAACATGTTCTAGTACATACATGGAATTATAAACCCATAATCACCGAGCTAAACACTTTCGCTAATCAAAAACATCTAAACACAACATTCTACTTGAAGGATCGTAGCTCAATTTGGTTAAGAGTCAAAGCCTTTCTGTCTCGGCCTCACCAGTCACCCAATGCGACTAACGCTTGAGGTCCAGATTTCGATTCATCTCTCTCTCTCTCTCTCTCTCTCTGTTGCTTGCACAAAAAGAAAATATATCTGGTGACTCAGGAAATAAACTCCTCAACAAGTTCACCAAAATCAAACTTACCATTGCTGCATTCCACAGCATTCAAAACCTCTTCAAAAGCTGAGACGCTGCAGGGCACCACAAGGCCATTTCTCTGCTGAAAGCCGTACTCATTGTAAGCCTTCTCCAGCAACATCTTGAAGAGTGGATGAGAAAGGGAGCTTGTTGGCACCACAAATCTCTGGAGCTCCTCCCCTACATACAAGGCCAGAAACCCGATCGGGGTTTTCGACGACGGAGAGCCTCCTTGCTCTGAATCTCTGATCAGCAGACACTCATGGTATGATGGCTCCCTCTCAGCTCCTCCCATAACCTTCACTTTCTTTGCTAGCTTTTTGAAGCTCACCATCCTTTTTCCCAGCATTTTGGTTTGGTTTTTTGAGGTTTAGAGAGAAAAAGAGAGGAGAGGAGAGAGAGAGGTGGGTGGAGATTGAAGGTGGTGGACGTTAAGAAAGGCTAAGGAGGAGGGAGTGGCTTGATGATTTTGGTTAGTGGAGATTGGGAAATGGTGGTGGGTGGGGAGGGGATTTTATTTGAGATTTTTGGAAGTGGGGGGAATGTCTCAGAAAGGGTCTCCTCTGACTTTTTAAATTGTTAATCTATGGCCATAATAATGACTCTCTTTGTCCCCATTTGTTTCTGACTTCTTAACAGTTTAGAGCAATTAATTGATCCAAACATAACAGTTTAGAACAATTAATCTCAAAGCAAGATGTTGTAAAGTTATGGCAAATGTGAGTTAGGTCAGTTAGTCAAAGTAGTGTGCTTGTTCTTTTGTATCCAAGTCTAAATTCCTTCCCCGTTTATTATAGTGTGAAATGTATTCTCCTCTTGGTATGATACGTACACTGAAAATGACCATTACATAACTAATTTCAATGTGGGATGCACTTACATGTTCTTTCTTTGTGTATTAGTAAGTGCATGAAATTTCAACTCAAAATGATACTCATATTTTGCATATTCATTTTCTGGTAAGTAGCATTAGAGGTTTTATCATTATTATCCTTGCGAACATGTTCCTCTAATGACATGTTTACTTTCTTAGAAAGAGAGAAATTATGAATCCGAAAAGAGAAAAAGAATGGAGATGGGATCAACTACTCTACTCTAGTTGACCTAGACTTGTTTTTCCGGTAACAAATTATAGATTTCAATGTAGAACCCACACTTTTTTCAATTATGTATGCATTAATAAACATACGAGAAGCAAAAAAAAAAAATTGAAACGATTCTAATACTTATATTTTAATAAACGCGTGAAGTAAGAATTTCCTTAATTCAACAAAAGTGGGAACATCTAATGAGCCACTTTGGCATTTGACAAAAATTGTTAGAGGGTTTAGCACCACATTTGTTGGTGCACAATGCTTGTTGTATAATTTGGAATTTGAGTCAACCCAAGGGTTCCATAAATGAGACAAAAAGTATTTGATGGTGGTAAAGAGAAAACAAATTGAAGTGTAATTATTGGGCATGTAAAATGTTCAATTCCCATAAACAATGATGGAATGGCACTAACTAAATATACTTTAAAATCCCTAACCACCATGGAATCATTTGTCAGTTTGAACCAAATTGCATGCCAACCACAATTTTTCTTTTTTGGTAAATAATACCAACCACATTTTATCATTACAATTTTTATAGTGCCTTGATCAACTTTATGGGGAACGAGTGGAATCTCAATTCATTAGCTGGAAAGTTAAAAAAACAAATAGTTGGTTTGTTATTATATTTCTATACAAGAATCAACCACCATATATAGTATAGGGCTTGCCTAATCAAACTTGAAAAAAGAACTAAGAACTACCTATGCACCAAACAAACAAACACACTCTTGCATGCCCTCTTTAGTTTTCCATTGGATAAGAAGAGTTTGGCTTCCTTAACATGTCTATTCCTACATAGTTCTCGATCATTAAAGTCGACCCCTTATCGTAAATACAAAGATAAGTGATATATTTAAGTACTTGTTCTCAATCGTCCATTGATAGTTTTCAATGATTATAATCGAATTCTTCTTGTAAATACATAGATAACTTCTCTAAGTCTATTCTTGAGTAGTCCTCAATCATTAGAGACGAACTCTTATCTATTGAATTTTTGTGAGGCTTAGCCCACTCCCCTACTTCTTTAGTGTAAATAATATCGTTTGTTCAAAATCAAAATCCAATACTAATGAACTTTTAAGTGGTCTACAATTCAATCAAATGAAATAATAGACATTAATACTAAGATTGTTCTTTGACCCCTTTATATCAGCCTTATGAATGTGTGCTTTGGAATCTAAATAAGATAATTGAATCCTTGATAAACATGTAATTATAATACCTAACTGGTAGGTTAAGAAAGTGGGATTTGAGATTCTCTTATGGATGGAACCGTAATGCCTTAGCCAATATAAATACTAAGGTCTCTGCAAACTCTAGAAAAACAACATGAACTTCTCATTAAGTAGTTGTATTTGGTTAGATGCTCAGTAGAAGACTTTAGTATTGCTACAGCCTTCATCCTCTCATGTTTGATTTTCATGGCTACCGCTTCAATCATGTTAGCCACTCCTACAAAGAAGTGGTGAATGGAAGTGTTGCTAGAAACTATTGAACTTGACATTGACATTTGTCGTAATGAAGAGAGGGATGCCCTAACTATTACAATTGTCAAATTTGATTGAAACGTGTGAGGAGCAAAGAATAAAGAAAGTCTTAAGTTATAGGCAAACAAAAAATAAGAAAGCATGGCCGGCATTGCCTCTAAGAAAAGGAAGGCGCAGTTGACATGGAAGTTATGGTGCAACTCCACTCACTAGGAGACATGACAAATGGGACATAGGGTGGGCCGGACAATATATGGAACAAGATCCTTTGACTAGGCCTAAGAGTCATACGTCAAGACTTTGAATTGTTTATTTGGGCCATGAGATCCATTTGTACCTAAAATGTGTACTCCATTGACGAATATCAACCAAAGAAATTTAGTAATCCACAAGTGTTTGTGTCGAATAACTGAGAAATTCTTGTGTCTGACAGCAAAATAATATGAACTATTTAACTCACTTACAAAGAAATGAGTTTTAATGTATTTAGGTATAATTTGGACCAATACAAATATGACCTCCGAATACAAGAATTTCTCTAAGTCGTGGAGAGATGCTTGATGCTTGCAGATGATTGGATAAATCACTTTTTCTTAGTCACAAGTGATATAAGAAGATGAATATATCTATGCGGACAACTAGCCTTTCAAAGCTATGGTATTCAATTTTGATTTTTTTGAAAGTCTTAGTTCAATTATCACAATTGACAAATAGTGAATAGAATAAAAGTGCTCGTTCGTGTCAAGATCAATTTTTTATTTTTTATTTATTTTTTGGGTGGGGACAAAAATGTAGGGTAAACACGGTTGTTGATTTGCTTTCACCCCCAGTCTTCTAGTTCAAATAGGCTTATCGGAGACCTAGGCTTGTTGATTTGCTTTCACCCATTTGCATTGATATTGAAAGTAACGGAACAACTGTTGGGTTCAGAATCCTTCATTTGATCCTCAACTCAAAATATTAAGGGAAACTTTGCCTACATAAGTTTATCATATGGAGTTGGTTTCAAGCCCGGATAAAAGAGAAAGATGGTACAACGGCTACGAGGGGGACTGGCCACCCCAATCTCTCTTTTGATCTCGTAAATGGCATATACGTAGAGGATTGGATCGACAGCCGACACGACGACTATGAGATTGAGGGATGGGCAAGATGAGTAGATACAAGGGGCAATACAAGCAAGGACTGAGGCATGGTTATGGGGTTTGTGGAGTGAGAGATTCAGAGCGCAGACTTGCTCCAATGGCAGTTGCTTTGTTGGGTAGTTGAAGACGATAGAAGAGATGAAAATGAAGAAGGCAGAGAAAATGAAAAAAAATGAAGGCGGAGAAAATAAGGGAGAGAAACGTCTAGAGGGAGATTATTAATCTATCTATATATAAAGCCATTTGAAAAGTGAATAGTGATTTTGATGTCACCAAGCTTCAACAAAAATATTTGGACAAAAATGCCCCCAAGACAAAAAACTTCAAAGGCATCCCAAAATAATGTATCAAATAAGGAATTGGCATTTTCGTCATTTAACAGTGCTTTTTTTTTAAAACTAATTTTTTGTTACATTTTTTTTAGTTAGTGCCTTACAATAGGCACAAAAATATTTGGACAAAAATGCCCCTAAGACAAAAAAACTTCAAAGGCATCCCAAAATAATGCATCAAATAAGGTAGGGGCATTTTCGTCAGTTTAATAGTATTTTTTTAATAATTAATTTTTTTGTGGTTTTTTTTTTTTTAAAATTAGTACCTCACAATAGGCCAGCAATAATGTGATTCAATTTCTCCATTTTTAAACACGTTCAAAACATCTTAAGAGGCGTGTTATACCGGTTATAAAGAAGTTTCTTCATTGGTATTTCATCTTTTACTTTTAAGTTGGACATAATTTCTTCAATTTTCCTCCAACATAATTTGTATATACTTCCTCCAACTCCAATCCAATCCCAAGCACCAAACGAGGCTATTATATTTGAAAAGATAATGCTAGAGAGATCAAATTTTGAAATCATATGAGGTAGATGTTGATGATTGAATTATTACTGAAGTGTCGATTAACGTGTTCATTTCCTATTAGTCACACATTATTTAATTTGCAAATTTAATTTAAAATTTGGCCATTGTAACATTGTTTTATTTGAAAACATGTGCAGTGGGGGAAAGTTCCCCACCAAGTCAAACAACTTACTTCGGCATTTAAACGTGGGGCCTTTATATTCAATGTGATAAAAAAATCCGCAGTCAATTATGCATTGGATTCCGTATAACATGAATTATCAATAATATTCTTTTTTCTTCTGCATGACTTGTATTTCATCCCAGCCTTATTAAGAACTGATTTGGTTTGTTCGGTTGGATTGGAATAGATACCTCTCTAATTTCAAGGCATATTGAAGGTAGAAGTGAATGATTTTTCATCAAGAGGAAATTAGAAGATAATTCGACATGAAGAAACTCATCTTTTCTAATCCTACCAGGTTGAAGAGGATTGGAATAGATAAGTCTCATTTATGAGTAATCAATCTTTTACCCTCAAATTGGACATAATTTGCTCATATCTCCCCTCAATATATCTTTCAATTAGAAAGTTATTCATTCCAATTTAGTCTTACATACCAAACGAGGCCCAAGGCCCAAGTGATCTTTGTGCATCTCGAAGGGACAAGGTAAAGTTTTGAGGCACACGTACTTTGATGATTTATGTTATGTTTCGCATTTACTATTCTACTAACCTCATGAAAAATTTGTCACTCTAAGCGATGAGACAACTAAGGAAGCAAAAGGAAATTATTTCCTCAACTCCTTTCTATTTCTTACATTTTTGTTCTTACTTAGCCACATGATTGAATAAATCAATGCACAAAAACAAATGAAGAATGCATGAAGATGAAATGAAAGTGTGAAAATCATTTCCCTTGAGCAAATACCCTGACAACATCACTTTATGATATACATATAAATCATGTTCCAAATAAATTTATAAAAAAAAAAAAAAAAAAAAAAAAGAAGGAACTTTAACGAAAAGCTTCCAGTACTGTTCACTTTAACGAAAAACCACATTTTTACACTTAAAAGTCAATCATGATACTATTTTCTTTACCCTTTATTTTGTCCTTATCGTTAAATCTCAAAGTTTTCAAGCCATTTTCATTAGTTTTCCTTAAAAAAATTGGGGCCTAATTTGCCTTCACCTTTTCAACAAGAGAACTTTAACAAA